ACGGTCTGTGAGGTGGGTAACGCACCCTTACGTCTTATCAAACGTGCGCACAAATTAAGGACGTAGTCAGTATCGTAGCATCGTCCAATAGCAGGAAAGCTGTGCGACTTAATGTACAAAGTACACTCAGTAAGATGCTTATTTCGACTCTCTCCGTCGCATACGTATTGGGTGGTTGTCGTGCCTGCCAAGGAACTGTAGATAAATACAAATGTCTTCTTAGGTCCGTTTATTGTTGAGAACACAGACCTAACTAACATAGGTCCTACCTGCTCTGCTCTGGTTACAGTGTGGGCATCCGGTGTTGTGGCGGTGACCTTTGATTGATTGATTGATGAAGATTAAGCCACCCAAAAGGTGGCACGGGCATGAATAGCCCGTAAGTGGTGGCCCTTTTGAACCATTACCAGTATCAATAGATGATATTGGAGATCTTAACGGGAGATGTCTCCCGTGCGGTGACCTTAAGAGGCCTGTATATATATAGTGACTCTCTGATTGACAGACAGTTCAACCGCCTTCAGTTTAAGAGCTAACATGTTAGGCCTTGGTTGGTGTCCACATGAAAGCTTCAGATCTTCCAATGATAGCATTATTTACACACAAAATGGATGAATAATTAACTCGTATTTTAACAAACAATCATGCAATATGCGTAGTGTATGTATGCTGAATTTGTTTTCATTGAAAATTGGTTGATTAGAAATTTTTGTGTATAAATAATGGTGGGATTCGAAGCTTCGTAAAGTTCACGTTCGAAAAGATGAAAGGACGATATTTACCATTCTTGTGTTTAATTATGTATGATATATTCTCTCGTTCCGTGCCTTTTTTCTTTCTTATATGTTACTCCCTCACCACAAATGTTAATTGCTTAGTTTATAAACTGTTGTGGTCTCTTCTTGAACTCTTGGGTATGGAGTTCACTAACAGCCACAGGATGGGTATGGGGTCCACTACAATTCACAGAATTGGCCTGGACCTGTGGTGCAAAATAAATGAACTAAACAAAACTAACTCCTCCTCGTCTTAGCATCCGAGCTTCGAGACGAGCGAGGGCCCTATCAACATGGAACTCCTGCCCATCAACAACCAGAGTGGCCAGTCGTACGGCTACATCCTTTACACTACCAACGCCTACCTCGCCGCCCCAAACGCTACCCTCAAGATACGGGGTCACGTCAGGTTAGTGAAGGCTCACAGGGGCCAGGAGATGGGATGGGGAAGAGTGAGAAGAGAGTTGGGTGTTCTTGACCATATATAACATGAAGTGTGAGATATGCTGCGATAGCTGACAAGATATGCTTCCCTCCGTATTCCTAATGTTCTTGTACCCTACATAGTTATTGTGTATATTTTGACTGTTTACAATATGTATTTGTGTTACAAAAAATATAATTCCGAATTCAAGGAATTAACATTCTTGCAAAGTTGTGTTATCCACATCAATTAAATTGGGGCAGTCACAGTTTTTTCATGTTATAATTCTTGTTTTGCATAGAACTAAAAGCGTAGCATTTTAGGAACATACATTTTGAGCTTTATTTAAAAGACATCGACCCAAGAATATATATATATATATATATATATATATATATATATATATATATATATATATATATATATATATATATATATATATATATATATATATATATATGTTTGTTACTTTTGCCAACACCAGCACGCCAAATACCGATTAATTAGAGAGCTGCCATGTCTTTTTGTGTTTATTGTGACAACTTAACACATAATTACACTATTTGAATACAAATCATATAAAAGTATATATAAAGTCATTTCTCTCATCATAAGTAACATCGTTGGGGATTTTTGCTACTGCATTTTTAACGGGAAAATTCCAATCTCAAAATCTAAATTTTGCTTTAATACTAAAATTCCTGTCAGTTTCCTCCTGATTTTGACTAAGTCAGCACACAGTTTACAGCATAACAAATGCTACCAATGACACAAACGATTTTTAATAATTTACTAATAATGCTTTTCATATTTTTAATATTTTAATATAAGCTCTCATTTAACAGTGTCTAGAAGAAAGTATAGTTTAAGAACTTGGGAATCACACCTTCAGTATTCATCATATTACAGAACTATTTATTTAAGGCTGTAGTTTAAGTGTAAGTGCTTTTTCATTTACACAAAATTAAAAAAAAATGTTCGTAGCGTTTTAATTATTAATTTGGTGCGGATAATTAAGAATATAATTTAGTTTCAAGATTTTTTCGCGTTTGTCATCATTTAAATGAAGCATGCACATATGTATACACATGTGCATTCACACAAGCGAACACGCGCGTGTGTGTGCGCACACACACACACACACACACACACACACACACACACACACACACACACACACACACACACACACACACACACACACACTAGATCAAAGTGTGATCAAGGAATCATCTAGTAAAGGAGTAAAGAAGTAAGTAAAAGGAGTAAAGGAGTAAGGAAGGAGTAAATCAAGGAACTAGTGAAAGAAAATGAGGCATGGAAAGTGAAGTGTGGTGACTTTGAAGAAATAAACAAGAAAATAGACTCATATGGTGAACAACTCCAAGCAAGCCTAAGGGCTAACATAGAGTTAGATAAGGATCTCCAACTGGAAACTTCACTGACAACTCACATAGAGGAGGTGAATAAAGAACTAGAAAAGTATAAAGAAGAAATAAAAGCGACATATGCTCAAGTTGTAAAAGAGAAAGAGACTATCAAAGAAGTGTGTTCGGAAGTCAAAACCAGAAATGACCAACAAGAAGCAGAAATTAGGCAAGCAATTAGGAAAGAACTGGTTACCAACAGTAAACTGGTACAAAACACTGCAGATAGAACTAAGTCCATAATCATTTTTGGATGTTTAGAGAAGGAAATTTCATCTAGGGTGGACCGAGCGGCAGAAGAGATGAAAATCATAGAGAAAATAGTAGGTTTAGGAGAAGGCTCAAAGGAAAATGTCAGTGATTTTAGAAGAATAGGAAAATATGAGAAAGAAAAGAACCGCCCCTTAAGGGTGACCTTTAATGGAGTGAAAAACATGATGGAAGTGCTAAGAAATGCCAGGAAACTGCAGAGTGATGAGGTTGGCAAATCTTGGTCAATAAGACAAGACCTCTCCAAGGAAGACAGAGAAAAGCTGAAAATGAACTTAATTGAGGCAAAACGGCTAAATGGGGATAGAAATGAAGAAGACAGAAATTCTTTTTTTTTACAAAGTGACAGGGACTGGAAAGCTTGTGAAATGGTACATAAAAACAAAGCAACAAGATCAGTAGTGGAAGGGGGAGTAAAGAGCAAAAGAAAAGGGAACATGTTCCTGAAAATTGTATATACCAACATAGATGGAGTGAGGTCAAAAACTTTGGAGTTGCAAGATATAATCCAGCTTAGGGTCCCAGATATTGTTGCATTATCAGAAACGAAACTTGAAGGAAATATAATAAATGAAGTCATATTCCCAAGAGGCTACTCAGTTTGGAGACGTGACAGGAAAACTAGGAAGGGAGGAGGAGTGGCTGTACTGGTGAAAAAACACCTGAAGGTAAAAGAGTTAATATTTGAAAACCCTCGAGATATTGACATAATGGCATTGCAGGTCTGGAATCAGGATGATAACCTGATAATTGTAAATACCTACAGCCCACCAGCAAGCAACACGTGGACAAAGGAAGAACTGGATGACAAACGAGAGGGCCTCATAATGGTCATGAGAGATATTATTGTACAAGCAGATAAAGATAAATCACGACTGTTGATACTGGGGGACTTCAACTTTAGAGCAATAGACTGGGAGGCCTATGAAGCAAGAACGGAGGACTTTTGGACATGCAGATTTGTGAACCTCATTCTGGAGACATTCTTGTATCAACACATAAAGCAAGCCACAAGAATGAGGGAAGGAGATATACCGTCAGTACTGGATCTAGTATTCACCAGGAAAGAAGAAGAGATTTTTGACATCCCGTACCTTCCTCCCTTGGGAAAGAGTGATCACGTCCTGTTAGACATTAAATATGCTTTAAGATATCATCTAGAAGAAAATGGGGACATTGAAACAGTTGATAAACTCGATTTAAAGAGAGGCAACTATGGGGAACTTCGAAATTTTTTTAATGAGTGTAATTGGACAGAATTGTTGCTAGGCAGGGAAGTAAATGAAATGTATGCCAAATTTTTTAAAATATACGAGGAAGGCACACAAACATTCATACCAAAACAGAGATGCAGGACCAGAAAACAGGATTGGTTTGACAGAAATTGTGAGAGGGCAAGAGACCAAAAGACACAAAAATGGAATCGGTATAGGAAGAGGCCAAACCCCCAAACATACCAGCGATACAAAGATGCGAGAAACAATTATACAGCAGTAAGGAGAGAGGCAGAAAGAAATTTTGAAAAAGGGATAGCAGATAAATGTAAAACAGAACCGGGCCTATTCTACAAATTCATAAACAACAAATTGCAGGTAAAGGATAATATGCAGAGGTTGAAAATGGGAAACAGATTCACGGAAAATGAAAGGGAAATGTGTGAAACATTAAATGAAAAGTTCCAAAGTGTGTTTGTACAAAATGAAATCTTCAGAGAACCAGACACAATAAGAATTCCAGAGAACAACATAGAGCGGATAGAGGTGTCTAGAGATGAAGTGGAAAATATGCTAAAGGAGCTCGGGAGGAACAAAGCAGCTGGCCCAGATGGCGTTTCACCATGGGTTCTGAGAGAATGTGCATCTGAGCTCAGCATTCCACTTCACCTGATCTTTCAGGCATCCCTGTGTACAGGAATCGTAGCAGACGTGTGGAAACAGGCTAACATAGTTCCAATCTACAAAAGTGGCAGCAGGGAAGACCCCCTCAATTATAGACCTGTATCATTGACAAGTGTAATAGTGAAAGTATTGGAAAAGCTAATCAAAACTAAATGGGTAGAACACCTGGAGAGAAATGATATAATATCAGACAGACAGTATGGTTTTCGATCAGGAAGATCCTGTGTATCGAATTTACTCAGTTTCTATGATCGGGCCACAGAGATATTACAGGAAAGAGATGGCTGGGTTGACTGCATCTATCTGGACCTAAAAAAGGCTTTCGACAGAGTTCCACATAAGAGGTTGTTCTGGAAACTGGAAAATATTGGAGGGGTGACAGGTAAGCTTCTATCATGGATGAAAAATTTTCTGACTGATAGAAAAATGAGGGCAGTAATCAGAGGCAATGTATCGGAATGGAGAAATGTCACAAGTGGAGTACCACAGGGTTCAGTTCTTGCACCAGTGATGTTTATTGTGTACATAAATGATCTACCAGTTGGTATACAGAATTATATGAACATGTTTGCTGATGATGCTAAGATAATAGGAAGGATAAGAAATTTAGATGATTGTCATGCCCTTCAAGAAGACCTGGACAAAATAAGTATATGGAGCACCACTTGGCAAATGGAATTTAATGTTAATAAATGTCATGTTATGGAATGTGGAATAGGAGAACATAGACCCCACACAACCTATATATTATGTGAGAAATCTTTAAAGAATTCTGATAAAGAAAGAGATCTAGGAGTGGTTCTAGATAGAAAACTATCACCTGAGGACCACATTAAGAATATTGTGCAAGGAGCCTATGCAATGCTTTCTAACTTCAGAATTGCATTTAAATACATGGATGGCGATATACTAAAGAAATTGTTCATGACTTTTGTTAGGCCAAAGCTAGAATATGCAGCTGTTGTGTGGTGCCCATATCTTAAGAAGCACATCAACAAACTGGAAAAGGTGCAAAGACATGCTACTAAGTGGCTCCCAGAACTGAAGGGCAAGAGCTACGAGGAGAGGTTAGAAGCATTAAATATGCCAAAACTAGAAGACAGAAGAAAAAGAGGTGATATGATCACTACGTACAAAATAGTAACAGGAATTGATAAAATCGACAGGGAAGACTTCCTGAGACCTGGAACTTCAAGAACAAGAGGCCATAGATTTAAACTAGCTAAACACAGATGCCGAAGAAATATAAGAAAATTCACCTTCGCAAATAGAGTGGTAGACGGTTGGAACAAGTTAAGTGAGAAGGTGGTGGAGGCCAAGACCGTCAGTAGTTTCAAAGCGTTATATGACAAAGAGTGCTGGGAAGACGGGACACCACGAGCGTAGCTCTCATCCTGTAACTACACTTAGGTAATTACACACACACACACACAATGATGCAGACAGAGCTGGACAGAAGAGAACTAAAACAATTCACAAGTTTAAAAGTATACAACAAGAGTGGTGCCTGAAAGGAGCAAACTCTGTTACACCGAAAAGCTGAGAGAAGTCGTCCTCACAACGCTGAAAGGAAGGATATACAGAGGAGATATGATCACAACATATACGGTATTGAGGCTTAATAAACAAAAAAGATAAAGTGGCATTATTCACAATGGCAAACAGTAGGATCAAGGGTCACTGGTGGAAGCTAGATACAGAAGAATGTCTGTAAAAGTTCCGTACTGCTGTAATCGTATACAATAAGAGATTGTCAGAGCAAGATCAATAAGTAACTTAAGAATAAGTAACTTCAGCAGGACGTACGATGGGAAACAAATGGAATAATAATCACTGCATTAACTTGACACGGGTTAAAAATATTGGGCTGGGGAGCTATTGTTCGGTCTTGCAAGCCTCATTTAGATGAGTAGATCCAGATGAAAGCAAATAGGCACACGTTTTAGCATCTACTTAGGTTTAGATTATTTAGATTACTAATATTATTTAGATTTAGAGTATTATTCAAAATGCAAACATAGATTAAGTTACATCCACTGTCACTGATAGTTTCATAAGTTTTATACTCCTTCCTCTTGCCTTGGTGGCAAATATAACTAAACCTCCACCGTAAGTGTAACACCTAAATGCTGTATTTACTATTTTACTTTTTTTTTACTATTTTAGTCTGCAATGTCAAATGTGATAAGACTTGTCATGTGATTTGCTGTACTCACTGGATTTGTTTGCCCCCTTGAGGGACTTCAAGTAGAGGAGAGTAGAAATAGCCTAACCTACGCTATCCCTTTGAGATATATTTTATGGTCTCATTAAACGTACTTGAACTTGAACCCGCCACCTGACGTCACACTCCTCCCCCCAGGGACATGGCCCAAGTGCTGGTTGATGGAGAGGTCATCACCAAGCCCTACTCCAACCCTCTTGACGTCAGTGCCTTTGGCTTCTGGAATGGACTGTGAGTACCATAATGCACAACCTCTATATATATATATATATATATATATATATATATATATATATATATATATATATATATATATATATATATATATATATATATCACTGTTGATATACGTTTCATTGGTAAAAGTAAGAGAAGGGACATGAAACACGCAGTTGTTGTTGTGTGTCAGAGTAATAACGTGCGTCTGACAAAACATGAATTGGTGTACCTACGTGGGGGGTGGGGGGAGGGGGGGCTGGTAGATATAGGCTAAGCTACTCTATCCTTTTGAGATGTATTTTTTTTCTTGTCTCAGTTAACATACTTGAACTTGTACCTACCTGTCTGGGCCTTGAACACCCTGTGTTCAGGGTGAGTATGAGTTACATACCCGAGTTTCCCGCTCTACCTGTTGTGTCTTCGTCGTTCTACAGTTGGAAATTTGCCATACTATGAAAGATCATTATGATTTAATAACCAAAACTGTTTTCTGGCGGTACCATTTACGGCTCCCAACTCACAAAGTGGGAGCGTTTCAGTTTCTTTTCGGTTTGATGCATTATTTGATGCTTGATGAACCGAAACGTCGTCACACTCATTTAGTTTCATACGTGTGTTGGCTTATTTATTTTTAACTACGTTGTTGTGACTTTTTATCAATAATTCTCAGGAATTGCTGCTAATTCCTGATGTGTATTTCTATGAGTGGTGAACTTGAGAACAAAACTATTTCGTTTCTCAAAAAAAATGTTTTTGCCAAAATTTTTTAGGCAACCTAAAGAAGCCTAACGTCTACAATATAATGTATTATAATGTAAGGCTTTCATACTGACATACATTAAGACAGTGTTATGGAACAATTATTAAAAATGCTGATTTAAGTATGCAGAATAACCACAGTGTGTATAAGTAGCGGCGGTTCGCTATGACTTTGGACATCTCTCGTTCACCAGTGACAAGGAGCTGAGCCTACCTGGCGGCGACGCTGTAGCTGAGGTGTCTATCCTGGTGGAGAACTTAGCGCGGGTCAACTACGGCCAGCCGCACAAGTACCACCAGAAGAAGGGGCTGTGGGAGGGACCTGTGCTGATTGACGACCTCCAGATCAACGAGTGGATCATGTACCCGCTCGAGTTCAAGGCTGAGCTGGTCAACAGGTGCGTGAGACGCTGCTTGTCAACAACATTGATTTAGTTCATTTATTTTGCACCCCATTTCAATGGTGTATTAACAAATGGCATTAACGTCTTCTTAATTGCACGTGTCCAGTATGTATTCAGCTGACAGGCAAATCTGGGTGCATCAGATTAACAAAAATTAATACATTTTTATTTTTTCTGATTGACAAATCACAGCTCATTTAAGTTCTATGAACCTTCAGAATTGTTACATTTGAAGTTCAACTTTCTCCCGAAACAGCCTGACGGGATGGAGTTCCTTCAGCGGGTCCCTGGATACCCCCGCTGTGTACCGCGCCTCGGTGGACATCTCCGAGGAGCCCCAGGACACCTGGCTGGACATGAGTACCTGGGGCAAGGGCGTCGCCTTCGTCAATGGCTTTAACCTGGGCCGTTACTGGAACGCCGGTCCAACCAAGACCCTGTACCTCCCTGCACCTCTGCTTCAAGAGGGCGCCAATGAGGTAAGTGAAACTCCAAATTCTTAGAATCAGTAGCTGCCCGGATAACATTAAGGTTTGTTTATGCTTAAAGTGTTTAGTTGAGACCTTAGAGAAAATTTTAAGATATTAACTTATTTTTCAGCTTATTTGATCCGCATCAATGCTTAATGAAGAGCGGAAGCTCTTACAGTGGTAATGTAGTATACAGCCTCAGCTACAAGGAGCTCCCTATTGGGCTCGAACTCACAACTAAGTGCTCGAAAGCTGTTACGTACCATGACTGATATATATATATATATATATATATATATATATATATATATATATATATATATATATATATATATATATATATATATATATATATATATATGCGAACAAGCCTGAATTTTCATATATATATTTTTTTTTCATATATATATATATATATATGGTATATTGGATTTATACCATAAGGGGGGGGGGTCAGGTGTAGACAAGTAGACACAAAAAAGGCATTAAAGTTTGAAGAAAAAGTTGAAAATAGAGTACGACGCACATATAAAGGTTAATCAGGCGTAGTGGACGTAACATGTTGAGCAGTGTCTTCTATGTTGGCATCTTCACGTTCCGGTCGTGTTCTTACTCTCGTGGTGGGTAGAGTGAATAGTTCCCTAATTTGGGTATTTATGGTGGTTTGTTCTATTTTTTCTAATTGTTCTATATATAACCTATTATATAGGTTATATATATGTATATATACAGTATATATTATTTTTTTAATGTAATTAACTCTTTAGTATTATTTACTTTAGATATAAACCAACATATATATTGGATTTGATAGAAAGCTTTAAAGAACATTCGTATTCGTAGGTACGGCTGAAAGACTATTTGTTTGAGGTCCATTCAGACGAGTTGAAATATTCCAAGTTCCCTTAAAATTGTGCACCAGGTTTTTTTCTTAGTACCCAGCAAACACATAACGTATCCACAACGTTATTTGTACTCTTGTTACTTTGAGGCAACGTTGTAGCAACTTGATAGCATTAAAAATCGCTGTGGTTGTGCTGTACGTGATGAGTATATAAGTACTTATAAGTGACCAAGGGTAAGTGAGGCCTAGTTCTTTATGTTCCTCTTACTAGCCTTGCTGTACCTGTTGCATTACAGTTTAACTAACTTGATGTTCGAAATCTTGGTCGAATCTGGAATGAAAATTGTGGACGAAGGTGGCTTCCATAACTTCTTATTTCAGGTGGTGGTATTCGAGCAGTACACAGCAGCCTCTGAGATAGTCTTCACCGACGTTCCCATCCTCTCCTAAACACTTCCTGCTGCATCCCTGAGAGCCTCAGACCAGTGCTTCTGACATGCAAGATCTTGTCAGAAAATGCTTGGATGTCCATGGTGGCCGTGTTTTAAGAACATAAGAATAAAGGACTTTGGAGAAAGTCTGTTGGTCCATATGAGGCATTTCCTATATATATCCAGCCAAATTCATTCATAGATGTTGAACCTACTATTGAAGGAATCCAGTGATCCCACGTAAGTTTACATATTAATAGTGCAACTTTTTATAATTCAAGATTTTGTTAATTAATATTTTGTATCGACTAGAAATCCAGTTATTATTGAAATAATTCAAGAAATTAAACAATTTAAATTATTGATCTACAAATAATTGATAATTTGTCAATAGAGATCTCAGTTTCAGTGCCTTAGTCCATCCACTTTATCTTTAACTTTTTGGTAACTAAATGCACAAATTAATGTACTGTACTAATACTTAGAACATACATAGATTAATACTTAGTACTGTACATACTTAGATTAAAATCTAATACAGAAATATTTATGACATCAGAGGAATATAAAATGTAAAAATACTATAGTAAAAGTCTCATTTGCATGAAAATTAATATATCACTGTGAATTGATGCCAGTTTTTAATATATAAGTCTAGGAAAGTTTAAAATTAATATTTCTCGATTTAGGACTTAAAATATTGAATGTAACTCATTTTGTTAAGCTCCAGCGTGAAGTCCATATTAAGTCAAGCACAAGACAAAGTTAGAGAAAGTTCAGAGGTATGCAACCAGACTAGTCCCAGAGCTGAGAGGTGTGAGCTATAAGGAGAGGCTACCTTAAATTTTAACATTTCTCTTGTCTTATCACATAAAATTATGTGAACGACGACCATAATAAACTGAAGTGACTCAATGGTGTTTAATTTCTTAGATGTTTCGTGTGTTGAGGTGTTTGTTTATGTGTTTCTCACACTGCGAAGGAAAGAAGGATTAAGACAGGAATTTCCTTAAGTACTTTCGTTTTTAATACATCTTCAGAAGGATGTATTTACAGTTCTGTGATGTGGATATATAGGCAGGAATGAGTTGAGATGAGAAACACTGTCTTTAATGAGATAATGGGATATTAATAAGGTATTATTGAGATAATTGGGTATCAGTGATCACACTCAAATCGCTCTTTAACTTATCAATCGAAAATGAATCTAAATTATACAGACCACTACTAATGTTCAAATTACATGATTTTGTAATCTGTATTAAAGCAGTTTCAGTAATGTTTCTATTGAAAATGATTTTAATAGAAACTTTAATTTAATGTTAAAACTTGCCTGTACAAAACATGTATATATATATATTTGCCTGCATAGAACAGGTACATTTTGGATGTGTAAAAAAGTTATATATATATATATATATATATATATTTGCCGTACACAGCGTGGGGACAGTTGCTGTACACAGCGTGGGGACAGTTGCCGTACACAGCGTGGGGACAGTTGCCGTACACAGCGTGGGGACAGTTGCCGTACACAGCGTGGGGACAGTTGCCGTACACAGCGTGGGGACAGTTGCCGTACACAGCGTGGGGACAGTTGCCGTACACAGCGTGGGGACAGTTGCCGTACACAGCGTGGGGACAGTTGCCGTACACAGCGTGGGGACAGTTGCCGTACACAGCGTGGGGACAGTTGCCGTACACAGCGTGGGGACAGTTGCCGTACACAGCGTGGGGACAGTTGCCGTACACAGCGTGGGGACAGTTGCCGTACACAGCGTGGGGACAGTTGCCGTACACAGTGTGGGGACAGTTGCCGTACACAGCGTGGGGACAGTTGCCGTACACAGCGTGGGGACAGTTGCCGTACACAGCGTGGGGACAGTTGCCATACACAGCGTGGGGACAGTTGTCATACACAGCGTGAGGACAGTTGCCATACAGAGTAGCGGCGAGGCTTCCTAACCACAATCCACACTATCGCCCCTTGGGCGGAGGTAAAACAACATGGTCTGGCCGGTATGTTGATAATATCCAATTTTACGGGTATTGGCGTCCATATTTTAAAACCGGTTTAGCTTTAAGAGCGCTGTGATTTATTCTCCTAAATATATCACTGGTGGACCCGGGAAAACACAACTATGAATATATATCACAAAAGCAGAAGAGAGTCGAGGAATGTATAGATAATGATGTTTTTGCATTTAATAAACAAATAGAATCTATATTAGGAAAACAAAAATATAAGAGGGGTTACGTACACAAGGACATAAAAGTTGAAATGGCGTGCATGTTATCATTTATGTAAACTAGTGTTTTGTTGATAATATTCTTCCCAACTTTTCCCGACCCCTATCCCAGAGTTCTGCTAGGATTAACTCCCTCCGAACCCATTTATTTCTCCCTTCCATTGCCACCTTCCATTATTCCACCTGCTTTGTTCCGCCCTAGCATCCTCCATCCATATTACGTGTGGATGCTTCCGTCATCAAACGTTCACTCCCTTCTTCCCTACTTGCGAATGTCCTGGATTCAAGTGTCAAAATTTGTGGCCAGGGAAGAATTTGAAACATTCTTTTTTTCTGGAAACTTTTTGTTGGCGGAGTTGGATTTTTTCGTTGCCGAATTTGGAATTTGTTTACTCATGTGGGATTTTTTGTTGGAGGATTTGACATTTTTTAGTTGGCAGATTTGTATTTTTTGGGGGGAGAGGGGATTATTTAGAGTTTTTTGTTGTTGATGGAAGTTCAGGCGTGCTGGTGCTGGCAAAAGATATTGATAGATGACAGTGCTGGGAACTGGGAACACACCTTCTTTTAACTCGCTATTATTATATTTCGTGACATGTCTACCTATAGAGATAATTTTTTTGTGTTTATACATTATTATTATATATTTATATACTGTAGATCATGTATTCTCCTTTAGAATTGAGTGTTATACGTTCATAGCTGTTTTGTGCATATGCTCAGCACCTGTGATCTGTCCCCCTGTTCAACACCTGAGGCCTGTGTCTATGCTCAGTACCTGTGATCTATCTCTGCTCAGCACCTGTGACCTGTGTCTATGCTCAGTACCAGTAATCTGCCTCCCTACTCAGTACATGTATTCTGCTCCTCTGCACAGTACTTGTGATCCATCCCTCTGCTCAGTGCTTGTGAAGTGTGCACTCATAGGAGTTATCACCAAGCCTTGGATAGTTCTCCAAGTCCTTCAGATGATGATTCTCAATATTCTGTTACTCCTTCCATGCTGAGTGACTGCCGCTTCAATTTCACTATCTCTGCAGTATTTACATGTTCACTATTCTGAATCTTTTCATTTATCCCTTTTAACTCCTCGTCCCATTCAGGTGAAGCGGGACACCCGCTATACAACAGCTTTTTTGACACTGAAACCCTTGATATAAAAGGCCAATCAGGATTTTTTTGTTAAATATAATTAATTTGATCAGCAAGCGCCATCCACTGAAAGGTTTGGAGTTCTATAATATATCCTCCACCGTTGAATTATACAAATTATGGTATACGGGTATGTTAACATTTTTATTGTGCAATAAAAAATGGTATAACTCAAATATAAATTAATATTATTATGTGCAGTTAATTGATTTTGTCAACTCGTGCTCAGGTTAGGCTTGTCCAAGCGACGGCCGACGCCAATGACGCTATTATTTATTTTAACAAACTGTGTAATCAAAATCGGCATTTTCTCATATATAAATTACAATGTTAATATTTTTTTTTAGATTAAGTTAGGTGTTTAGGTATTGTAGCAACCCGTTCTCAGACCAAGTCCATTCTATCCAACGGCCGACCCCAAAAACGCATTCATCAATTGTAATATGCTGTTCATTCAAAATAAGAATTAGTAGAACCATCTTTGGAACCATTCCAAAGTTTCACTAGTTACCCTAGTAACTGTGCAGCTGTATCTAACTGACGTTATCATTAGTGTAATATACGTTTTGTTGACGAGTGGTGAATGTGTATTGATGATTGATGAAGATTAAGCCACCCAAAAGGTGGCACGGGCATGAATAGCCCGTAAGTGGAGGCCTTTTTGACCCATTATCAGTATCAATAGATGATACTGGAGATCTGTGGAGGTGCGACCGCACCCTGCGTGACGGGAGATGTCTCCCGAGGTGAAGGTGCATTGTGCATGTTTTAAGTATCGTGTGGGTTGGGATGACAGCCATGTAGACACCAGTTTAGGGCGACAATTGTGGGGAAAACGCAAGGTGGCTTGATCAGTATTTGCTCTTATTTCTCCATTACCCCTGTCTTTACGTGTGTTCCCGCCAGTAATGCAGTTTCATTCGTTGATATTATTGAGCCATCGTGATTTTGTATTGTTAGTTTATTGTGCACCCCATACTCATCCTGTGAGCAGTAGTTTATTGTGCACCCCATACTCTTCCTGGGAGCGGTAGTTTATTGTGCACCCCATACTCATCCTGTAAGCGGTAGTTTATTGTGCACCCCATACTCATCCTGTGAGCGGTACCTTGCTCCAGTGTATCCGGGTTGGGGTACCATAAGAATGTGTAGGGAAGCAATAGTAGGTATACATACACACAAAGTCCTGTGGTACAATGTTCTAAGTTATCGGCTCACAATCGAGGTTCACTGGTTCGATCCCCGCTGTAAGAGAAGCATATGGACAAATATTTCTTTCACCTGTGGCCTCTGTTCACCTGGGGAAGATCAGTTGTATGGCCTGGTATATATTATAACAAAAATATCCAGATTCATTACATTAGAAAGGCGGATCCAAGAGCTAACGGATCGATCTTGCACGCACAAAGGCGGGTCCAAGAGCTAACGGATCGATCTTGCACGCACAAAGGCGGGTCCAAGAGCTAACGGATCGATCTTGCACCCACAAATAGGCGAATACACACTCATTCATTCGTATATTAAATTTATTGCATTGTGTGCGGTGATTGTCCCTTCGACACTCCATCACAAATTTCAGATTTTTGTCGAAGTCTTGACAGCTGTCCACAACTCCAACCGGCAACTGCTTTATATATATATATATATATATATATATATATATATATATATATATATATATATATATATATATATATATATATATATATATATATATATATATATATATTGGTAGCAGTCTTTCTTATAAACATATGTTGTTGAATATGACCGAAAGGGTAAGATTAATGATTCTAACACGAATCTTCTCAATATTTCACATGTTTTTCTTCCCTGTCAAGGGTAGTTGAAAAATTAACTCTCCTAAGTTCATTTTCACACTTTATTTATGGTCTGACGCCTAGAAGCGTTTCGCATGACACTTATTACATTCTCAAAGACAATTTTACATACTCTGTTTCATGCTTATATTCATTTTTGGGTGAGATGATAGGACAAATGTTTTGGCTGAGGTGACAGAACTCGAATCAGGGGATACTTCAAGAAGACCATGGTCGTCCCAACAACCACTGGAGCACCAGGATACTTCAACAAGAGCATGGTCGTCCCAACAACCATTGGAGCACCAGGATACTTCAAGAAGACCATGGTCGTCCCAGCAACCACTGGAGCACCAGGATACTTCAACAAGAGCATGGTCGTCCCAACAACCATTGGAGCACCAGGATACTTCAACAAGACCATGGTCGTCCCAGCAACCATTGGAGCACCAGGATACTTCAACAAGAGCATGGTCGTCCCAACAACCATTGGAGCACCAGGATACTTCAACAAGACCATGGTCGTCCCAGCAACCATTGGAGCACCAGGATACTTCAACAAGACCATGGTCGTCCCAGCAACCATTGGAGCACCAGGATACTTCAACAAGACCATGGTCGTCCCAGCAACCACTGGAGCACCAGGATACTTCAACAAGACCATGGTCGTCCCAGCAACCACTGGAGCACCAGG